TTGCTTGTTCCACCAACAGTTTCTAGGCATCTTGAAAATTTCGTTGTTGGAGAAAGCGACTGGCAATGAAGCTCCACCTCAATACAGCAAGGATGGAATGGCTGAGTTCGAGCCGAAATTGGTCTGCTTGGTGAGGATGGTTCAGAACTTCATCAAGGAGAGCAACGAGAAGCAAGAATGTCCAAAGACCAGAGACAATTCCTAAGCAAGAAGCTAGTAGTATTCAACCCAATCCAATTCTTCTGATCATACATGTTATCATTCTAACCATACATCACAAAGTTAGAGTCCTTAATTATACCTCTCCCATGGAATCTCGAGCGCCATAGCAGTGAACATAGCATCACTGTCCATCCACCACAAGAACTCAATCTCCGGATGTGACCTCAACAGTTTTCTAATCAAAGGCAATTTAACCCAAAACCTAGCAATCTCCGAATCTATGAGTGCCCTATTGTGAAAGATCTCAATACCGTGCAACCTACAATAATCTATCTTATTCTTAATCGATTTTAACAAGAAATGATCATTGACATGGTTCTCGCATGGCTTCAGAGATGACCCGTGACGAGCAAAATGCTAGGCTTGTTAGGCCTGATGATATTGAAATAATTTTTGGGTGTTCCTTAGCCATCCAGCTCTCTGCTCGTACCAATCGGATATCCTTGGGCCAAGACTGTACGGTTTTTCTCGGATCCCATTTCTTGTTAGGAAGGATATTCCATACGTCGAACATCTTGTAGCTACTTGACGACAACGACTGATAGCTACTTTTTTTTTTTGGTCGATAACTGATAGCTACTTGACGACAACGACCGAGTTGACTCGGACCGAGCCAACGAGTGGGCCAACTCAGTGAGGACGGATGTGATGGGGCTCCACGCACTTTTGCTAGTAGAAGTGGTCTCAAAGGTCGTTAATGTCCTGCTCCGACATACTAAACTTGTTGGTGCCAATGATGCCGTGAAGGACGATCCGGACCGAGTGAGGACGAGGGCTTCAGGATCTAGAAGCGAATGACGTTGCTGAGAGAGTGATGTCTCGATGATGGCGGATCGAGGCAGCGGAGCGAGCGAATGGTGCAGGCAATTGAACCTTTGGGGTCGGGTTCGCAGTGGAGTGTTGAGAAACAAGAACGATGAAGACGTATTTTGGGGCAATTTTTTCATCTTCTCTTTTTTTCTTCCTTCACTTTGTACATATATGCATTTATCATACAAAAAAGGAAAGAATAAGCAAGATTACAGCAATTACACTCTCCTACTTTATCTCCGAGTATCCTTGATTGAATCAATTCAAATCAAGGTTAAAGATAAAATCGTATCTTTCTCCAACACTCCCCCTCAAGTTGGTGCATAGATATCTTGGATGCCCAACTTGTCAAGTGAACTGTAAAAGATCCTACTCGATACAGCCTTCGTTAGTATATCCGCCAGTTGATCTTCTGATTTTACATACGGAAACCGAACCACTTTGGTATCCAGGTTCTGCTTAATGAAATGACGATCTACCTCAATATGTTTTGTACGATCATGCTGAACAGGATTATGAGATATATCGATAGCTGCCTTGTTGTCGCAAAACAACTTCATCTCGGACATAGGAGTATAACCGAGTTCTGTCATTAATCTCTTAAGCCATAGAAGTTCGCAAAGACCTTTGTGCATCCCCCTGAATTCTGCTTCCGCACTTGATAATGCTACAACATTTTGCTTCTTGCTCCTCCAAGTAACTAAGTTTCCTCCGACAAAAGTAAAATATCCTGAAGTTGACCTCCTATCAGATACACTCCCAGCCCAGTCAGCATCCGTAAACCCCTCAATTTCAAGGTGTCCATTCTTCAAAAAACGAATTCCTCTTCCTGGAGCTCCCTTCAAGTAGCGCAGTATTCTTATCACAGCATCCATATGATCTTCACTAGGGGCATGCATGAACTGACTAACAACACTCACAGCATAAGCAATATCAGGTCGAGTATGCGACAGATAAATTAATTTTCCCACCAACCTTTGATACCTTTCTTTGTTAGTTGGTATCTGATCTGGATACTCCCCAAGTCTATGGTTCTGCATAACTGGAGTGTCTGCGGGCTTACAATCTAGCATCCCCACTTCCGCTAATAAGTCCAACACGTACTTCCTTTGCGAGAGAAATATTCCACCTTTAGATCGTGCCACTTCTATTCCTAGGAAGTGCTTCAGTCCCTCTAGGTTTTTCATCTCAAATTCTGAGGACAGTTTTTCTTGGAGTTTAGAGATTTCCTCTGAATCGTCCCATGTAATAATCATATCATCAACATAGATAATCAATACAGTTATTTTTTCCTGACAACGCCTTAAGAATAATGTGTGATCTGCACCACTCTGAATGTACCCATATTTCTTCATCGCCGCACTAAACCGGCCAAACCAAGCACGGGGTGATTGTTTCAACCCATACAAAGATCGTTCTAGCTTGCAGACCAATCCAGGCCGTGAAGGAAAAGTGTACCCCGGTGGAATATCCATATAAATTTCTTCTTCCAGATCGCCATGAAGGAACGCATTCTTGACATCAAACTGATGCAGTGGCCAATCTAGATTCGCCGCTAAAGACAGTAAGACCCGAACAGTGTTAAGTTTTGCGACAGGGGAAAACGTCTCCTGATAGTCTACCCCATATGTCTGCGTGTATCCCTTCGCTACTAGCCGTGCTTTGTATCTCTCGACGGAACCATCCCCTTTATACTTAACCGTGAAGACCCATTTGCACCCCACCGTCTTCCCTTCAGGTAACTTCATCAACTTCCAAGTCTTATTCTTTTGCAACGCCTCCATTTCCTCCTCCATCGCCTGAACCCACTTAGGATCTTCCAAAGCCTCTTGCATCCCACTCGGGATGTGAATTGAAGATACATTCAACACAAACGCCTTCAATGGTTCTGATAGTCTCCTCGTCGAAACATAGTTTGCAATAGGGTACTTGGATTTCTTCCCCCCAACATCAGGTGAGTATCGGTCCGGAGGCTTGCCCCTATTATGTCTGTCAGGTAACTTATATCCCACAGATATATCAGAATCATCAAGCAAACAAGATGTAGTAGTAGGGAAAATTACCTCAGGGATATTCTCAGGAGATGAGTCAGATTTGGGTGCTGAAGAGAGAGGGGGTTGTTCTTGTATATTCAGTTCTGGGGGCTGTTCTTGTATATTCGGTTCTTGTACATCCATAACTGTCGGTTGCAGAGCTTGCTCATTGTCACCATTTTCCACTAGTTGCTTTTCATTTTCTGGCGACATTCTCGCCGGTTGTTGCTCATTCCGGGCTGTACCTTTTGTGCTTCCTTTTGTCCTCCAGACATGACACCACCAACTTGCCACCAATTCACACTTTCTTCCTCTATCTCCCCCTGAAGGAAGAATTGGTGCTCGGATAGAAAAAATCTGACTCAACAAACGTGACATCCATTGTCACATAGGTTCTTTTAGTAGCCGGATGATAGCAGCGATAACCCTTCTGATGTGTACCATATCCCAAGAAAACACATCGAACCGCACAGGGATCGAGTTTGGTTCGGTGAGTCTTTGAAATATGGACATAAGCAACACACCCGAATACTCGAGGGGAAATAAGCAAGACAGATGGTAAGGTAGCATGTGTAGACAGCACTTGCAGAGGTGTCTTGAAATCCAATACCTTGGATGGCATTCGGTTTAGGAGGTGAATAGCTGTCACAACTGCATTGTCCCAGAAACGTTTAGGAACGTGACCTTCAGTGAGAAGGGCACGAGCGGTCTCTAAAATATGTCTGTTCTTCCGCTCCGCTACTCCATTCTGCTGTGGTGTGTGAGCACATGACGTCTCATGCAGTAGACCATGTTCCTGAAAATAGTCCTTAAGTTGCTCATTAACGTACTCTCCACCATTATCACTTCTTAAAATTTGTAACTTTCCACCAAACTGTGTTTGCACCATTCTATGAAATACCCGAAAAACATTAGCCACCTCATCCTTATGTTTCAAGAAATAGAGCCAAGTCATTCTTATGCAATCATCCACAAATATAACAAACCAGCGATATCCCAAAACTGCAGTAACGGGAGAAGGCCCCCAAACATCAGAATGGACTAAGGAAAATGCAACGCTACTCTTATTCAAACTGATTGGAAATGGCACACGATGGCTTTTGGCCAAAATACAAGTCTGACATTGAAAAACTGAATCTGGTAAACTGGAAAATAATTCAGGAAGTAAATGTTTCATATAGCCAAATGAAGGATGCCCCAATCGGCGATGCCATAGCCAGATTTGCTTCTCTTTGCTACTAGATAAGCCTCGCACTTGGTGCACCCTCCCAGAACTGAAGTCATCCAAATAATAGAGCCCCCCCCCCCCCCCCCCCTTTTAGTACCACGCCCAACTATCTCCTTCGTGAGAATATCCTGAAAAAGACAAAATTGTGGATACATCAAGATAACACAATTCAAATCTTCAGCCGCTTGCCCCACTGATATAAATTTTGTGGACAAAGATGGTACAAGTAAAGTATTCAATAGTGATATAGAAGAGGAAATAGCAACAGTTCCAGCCCCGGTCACTGGATATACAATCCCATTAGCATTTGAAATATTCTGCCGCCTAGGTTTAGTATAACTGACAAAATCATCTGTTGTGAAGGTCATATGATCTGTTGCACCTGAGTCAATAATCCATTGACTACATTTATCTCGAGAATTACTAATGAAAGCATGACCATAATTACCTTCACCTCCAGTGATTGATTCACTGTTTGATTCTACCTGTGGCATCAGTGATAGCTGAGCCTCCCCGGTAACAAGTGATGCCTTCCCTGTTTCACCATTCGTTGCAATCTCTACTTGTTTGCGTGCTTTCAGCTCCTTCCACCAATCAGGATACCCAATCAATTTGAAACACGTCTCCCGGGTATGCTTCGCACTCCCACAATTAGAGCAGCCACCAACTACTGTCGAGGAAGGTTTGCTTCTCGATGCTCCACCCGGTCAACCTCCTCTTGTCAAACCACCCGACTTTGTCATTTGTAATGCTGGTATGTCTCGAGTTCGGTCGAAGATCTGCAGTCCCATCTTGCCTCCTTGAGACACCATAGCTGCAGACAGGTGTGTGGTATCTCCGTGTGCTAGCATCACACTCTGCCGTACGTCTTCCCATCGGACACGAGCATAGGCCTGCTCAACTGTGGGAAAAGGCTGCATTTGAAGCACGTCCGCTCGAACTTTATCCAAGCGGTCATCCAACCTGTCAAGGAAGATATAGACCCGATCTTCCTGAATAGCTGAATTATATCGCTCGATATCAACAAGGCAAACCATCGGATTCGGGCGGCGAAAATCAATTTCTCTCCACAAACCCTGCAGGTTGTTGTAGTACGCCTCAATTGATCCTCCTCCTTGTCGCATCCGAGCAACACGCCTCTTCAAGTCATAAACCTGAGAGGCATCCGTTCCGTCAAAGAAAGTCGTTGCAACTGCATCCCAGACAGATTTCGCTGTTGGGAAGCGAATGAAATTGCCAATCAACGCCGGAGCCATGGAGTTGATAAGCCATTCTTTCACAGTCGAGTCTTCTGTTTTCCACTTCCGAAAGCCAGGATCTGTAGGCAGTGGCTGAGGAAAGTCTCCGTTGATATATCCCAGTTTGTCTTTGCCGGTGATGTACATCTCGACAACCTGAGATCACAATCCATAGTTGGCTCCATCTAATTTAATCGCAATCTGAGAAGAAACCGAATCATTCTGCGGTGTTGGTGATGGAAGAGGAGGGTTCGTTTGGTTCTGAGTGAGAATCTGAGTTAATTTGGCAGTCAGATTCTCCAAAAGAGCTTCCGTGGTCGAATTCCCCCCTGGTTCTGGTGGGGAATCATTGTTCCGGTAGGGTTCTGATCCGACATGGATCCAAGTTCAATCGCGCATCAAAGATGAAGAAGATCGGGTAAGACGCACGGCGAACGGCACAATAGAGAAAGAGCGGGACCGCCGTAGTCGATGATCGACGTACAGTATCCCAAGGATCAAAACCTAGGGCTCTGATACCATGTTGAGAAACAAGAACGATGAAGACGTATTTTGGGGCAATTTTTTCATCTTCTCTTTTTTTCCTTCACTTTGTACATATATGCATTTATCATACAAAAAAGGAAAGAATAAGCAAGATTACAACGATTACACTCTCCTACTTTATCTCCGAGTATCCTTGATTAAATCAATTCAAATCAAGGTTAAAGATAAAATCGTATCTTTCTCCAACATGGAGGACATAGGTGGAGAAGGCAGGAAGAAGAGGATAAGATAGAGAATACGGTCAAAATGGGCCCCACAGTAACCTTTAATGATAGTTGGGATATAATTTACTAAAAAATAGATCATAATATGGTCAAAATATTATGATGAAAAGCGTATTAGCTAAAGAGACAGTGGAAAAAATGTAAGGCATTATATATTGTTTCATTTTTTTTAAAGAAAAATTCTTTAACGAAATTCTTAACAAAATTTTTGTGCTCCTTAATGATTTGTGTCATGGATGGTGCCATCGAATGATAGGAAGGAATCTTTCGTGGGTATACTAAAGTCATTTTTCTATTTGTCTGGTAAGAAAAAGCCAATTTTTTATAGGAAGAAAAGATGATATGCTTGCGTGTCACATCAAAAGGACCACGTTTTTGGTGTGGGATAACCTAATTTATCAAATAGCGGATGTGGCATAGTTTTCTTGTTGCTTTGAAATGGAAAGCAGAATAAATATCGTTCTGATCAAGAATTATTTTAATTGCATAATTGATATTGCAAATAAGATATTGGCCCAAACCCTAGAAATACACATGACTGACAGTTTGGAGATACAAAAATGTTGGGGATCACCATATTTTCAAAATAATTCAATACTCTCTTACCCATCCATGAAGCTAAACAGTACAATAAATTGTTATTTTTCATTCATTGAACTTGTATTTTATCTCAATTATATGTACTTTACCAGTGAACAATAGTCGAATGGATAATGAAGGTGAAGAAAACGGCACCATTGAGGACAGATATGGAGAAACATGGCCAGAAACAGCACTACAAAAAAACATGAATTTTGCGACGGAAATTTGCGACGGGGAATTTTTCGTCTCTAATTTGCAACAAACTTTGCGACGGATTTCTAAATCCGTCGCAAATTAGCGACGAAAATTTTCCGTCGCAAATTAGCAACGGAAAATAATTCCGTCGCAAATTAGCGATGGAAAATAAATCCGTTGCAAATTTGGGACGGAAAATTGGTCGTCGCTAATTCCGTCGCAAATTAGCGACGACTAATTTTCCGTCGCAAATTTGCGACGGATTTATTTTCCATCGGTAATTTGTGCAACGAAATTTACCATTTTGCGACGAAAGTAGCGACGAATTTTTTATCCGTTGCAATTTTCGACGGATTTTGCTACGAAAATGGATTTGTCGCTAATTTGTGACGGAAAATTACTTTCGTCATATCCACCCCACTCATCAATTTCTCTCTCTCTGTACTAATTCCTCACATCCCCCGCTTTTCTCCGGCCTTCTCCCTCTTTCGTTTCTCTCAATAATCCATGCGCGCAAAAATCAATCTCGGTAAAGCTTTTCCACCGGTAAGTATCGTAGCTAATTTCGTGACTAAATAGGCGACGAATACGGTCCTGTCCTTTCTATTCATCGCTGGATTCGATTTTTTTTATTGACTTTTTTTTTGTTTTTTTTTTGTAACTTCTCGGCGACCGGCCACCGGCGAGACCTCGCCGGCCATGGGGAGAGGTCGAGCGACCTCGCCGGCCATGGGCCGAGGCCGCTCGGCCTCCCCCCATGGTGGTCAACCTCGCCGTCGCCCAGATCTGGGCGACGGCGAGGTCGACTGGTGGCCATGGCGAGGTCGCTCGGCCTCCCCCAGATCTAGGCGAGGCCGAGCGGCCTCGCCCGTGGCCGGCGAGGTCGGCCGGCGGCTCGCCCGGGTTTGACGGTCGACCTCGCCATCGCCCGGAGGTCGATCGGTGGCCACGACAAGGCCGGCTCGGCCTCCCCCCCATGGCCGTCGATCTCGCCGTCGCCCGGATCTAGGCGACGGCGGAGTCGACCGGCGGCCATGGCGAGGCCGCTCGGCCTCCCCCAGATCTGGGCGAGGCCGAGCGGCCTCGCCCCATGGCCGACGAGGCCCCTCGGCCTCCCCACATGGCCGTTGACCTCGCCGTTGCCCAGATCTGGGTGACGGCGAGGTTGACCGGCGGCCATGGCGAGGCCGCTCGGCCTCGCCGGCGTACGGCCGTCGCCGACCGAGAAAAATATAAGGAGAAATAAAAAATTCGGAAAAAATAAAAAATTATTCAAAAATAAATGTTAAGTGATTTTACTTTTATTTAGGTACGTGTCCAATTGAAGGTCTCGCAATCCAAGTGAACGTTGCAATTCTCATCAAATTGACCACTTTCTGCTACCAAGATTTCAGTCAAATATTTGGGGGGCAAAAATACACCAGAAGTGCCATAACTTGTGTACGGCGATCACTTTGGTGCCATAACTTTTTTTCGAATCACTTTGGTGTCAAGTCGGAGGAAAAGAGATCACTTTAGTGTCAATTTGGTCAGAAATCCGACGTGGCATTTTTTATTAATTTTTGACGCTGACGTGGCTCGCCGGAGGCTGAGTCAGCGTGTACAGTCAACATTTTTTATTTTAAATAATTTTTTCGAGAATGTACGGTCAGCATTTTTTATTTTAAATAATGTTTTTCCTTTTTTTTTCCTCTTCTTTCCTTTTTCTTTTCTCACCTCGCCCGGTTGCCGGTGGCCGGCCGTGCCACGCGAAGCCCGGAAGGGCCGGGCGAGGGCGGCCTTGGCCATGGCCGGGCGAGGGGCGGCCTCGCCGGCGACAGGTGAGGCCGCCCCTCGCCTGATCCGCGAGGGCGGCGTCGGGCGAGGAAGCTCGCCGATCCGGCGAGGGCCGCCCTCGCCGGCCATGGGCAAGGCCGCCCTCGCCCAGCCTCCTCTCCCGGCTTCGCCGGCGTCGGGAGAGGGAAGCCCTCGCCTGGGCCGACGAGGGTCGCCCACACCCGACTCAGGGCGAGGCTTCCCTCACCCGACGCGGGCGAGGGTCGCCTCGCCGAATCGACTAGGCGACCTTAGCCGTCCCGCGAGGGCTTCTCGGCGAGGGTCGCCTCGCCGAATCGACTAGGCGACCTTAGCCGTCCCAGCGAGGGCTTCCTCGCCCGACGCGCCCGAGGGCAGCCTCGCTGGGCCGGCGAGGGTTGGCCTCGCCTGTCGCCGACGACGAGGCCGCCCCTCGCCGGCCATGGGCAAGGCCGCCCTCGCCCAGCCCTTCCCGGGCTTCGCCGATGGCCGGTCGGCCACCGGCAACCTTGCCGGCGAAGGGAGAAAAGAAAAAAAAGAAAGAAAAAGGAAAGAAGAGGAAAAAAAAAAGGAAAAAAAATATTTAAAATTAAAAATGCTGACTGTACACGCTGGAAAAAATTATTTAAAATAAAAAATACTGACTGTACACGCTGACTCAGCCTCCGGCAAGCCACGTCGGCGTACAAAATTAATAAAAAATGCCACGTCGAATTTTCAGCCAAATTGACACTAAAGTGATCTCTTTTCCTCCGACTTGGTACCAAAGTGATCCAAAAAAAAGTTATGGCACCAAAGTGATCGCTGTACACAAGTTATGGCACTTCTGGTGTACTTTTGCCAATATTTGGGTAAGTCTTCTTTACATGATAATTTTTTCAATTTCAAAGTATTTGTTATGTGAAAAACAAAATTTTAATTTTCATAATTTTATGGAAGAACAGTAGATATGATATTTTAAATATTTTACGAGATTTTTTTATTTTAATACAGACACAATGCAAAGAGACAAGGCTTGGATGTATAATAAAAACTTACCTGGACGTCGAGGATTGACCGATGAGTTTCGTACTGGGTTGGAACTATTTTTAGACTTTGCTAGTAGTAAATATGAGTTCATGGATGGAAATAAGTTAAGGTGTCCATGTAAAAAGTGCAGTAATGGTAAATTTAATGTGTGTGATAAATTTAGAGAACATCTTTGTAGATTTGGGTTTACTCCGAATTATTATAATTGGACTTGCCATGGTGAACCATTTATATCTGATGAAGGATATCGAAGAAATGACCAATTTTTAGTTAGGGAAGAATGTAGCTATTATGACCAATTGAACCCATACGAGAGAATGGTGATTGATGCAGCTGGTTAGAATTTTGTTTCAGAATCGAACCATGCAAGTACTAGTTTTACTCCTATACTTGAACAAGTGGGTACTAGTCATGCATCACAATTGGAAGAGATAGGAGTAACGGGTTTTGATGAGAATGTGTGTAATTGAGCTTTTTCATCTAATCAGTTCTGGGAAGTTTTGAAAGTATACAAACAGCAGAAATCATATCACGTTGGAAGCCTGAAGTAGATATTCATTGCAATTTTTGTATGTCTGGTCTAGAAAGCAGAGACCATCTATTCTTCCAGTGCACCTGGACCGAAAGCATTTGGCGCACTATTCTTGCACAATACGGAATTCGACGCCCTGTAGAAGGATGGAATGATGAACTTAAATGGATGATCAATGCTACAAAAGGTAAGGACTTGGCGGAGAGACTTCTGAAAGTATCTTTCCTAGCGATCATATACTGCATTTGGATGGAGCGTAATCGTAGACGCTTCCAACAAAAATCAAATGATGCCCTTATCATTTTGGCTAAAGTTCGCAAACTTGTTAGAGGGCGAGCTTCGCACTACAAATCTTTTAGATCGTCCCGAACAAATGAAACTTTGGCTACTATATGGAGACTCCCCCACTCCATTTTTTTGTAATCTTAGTTCTATTTGTAATGCTGGGGAATGCCCCTAAGCTTCTGTACGTCATCTTATACATACTACTTACATTTACACCAAAAAAAAAGTTTTGAAAGTAGCAGATG